ATAATCAACAAGTTCTATCAATTTCTACTTCATATTATCATATGGCAGCTATTGTTGTTCAATCGAGAAAATAATTTATTTAAAAAAAACAAAAAAAAAACAAAAACATTTTTTTATCAACGTGTTTGTTTGTTTTCATGACTAATAAGAATGCAATTATGACGATTATTCATTCGGTTCGGATTGATAACCGGTTATAGTCATCATTGTATTTCTATTGAATACAGGTAAAAAGTTGATTATTATCTAAAACGATTTATTTAAGTGATGAGTTAAAGCACGAAAAAAATGTTTTTAATAGAAATCATTCGATATGTACATTGAGGATGTTTGTTTGTTTTTTGAAAGACAAGATTCGAATAATAAATTTAATGAATTGAAAAATTTTAAAATTCTTATTATATTCTTGGTTTGAATAAGAGATTGAGTTAATCATTTGAAACATTTTATGGCATGACAATGTTCAAGAGCGAGGCTAACACCAAGACTAGAAGTTTGAGATTGTCAGATATAGACGACTTAAACAACTCTGATCTCTTAAAAATACCGCTCCCCTCTCTTCATCTTTCGAAGATAGACCTTCGTCAGTACATGAAAAATTTTGCATAAACTCGAAATTTTCGAATATTGTTCTCTATGATATACTATGTTCGATTTAGTTGAATTTTTTCTATAAGTACGAGATGAATGTTTCTTTTTTTTTCTAAGAGCTATCAAAAATCAGCAGCACAATATTTTTTCAAACAAAAAGAAAATATCTATACTAAACAGTATCTTGCAAACACAGTTAATGTATGATTTTCACGAATATGGTTTCTTTTCAAATTCTGTAATATTTAAATAGAATTCTTGGGTTTTGAAAATGACTCAAAAAAACATGTTAAGTCAAGAAAGGGACAGAACACATTTGATCTTTGAAATTCTTACAGAATTTCTAATAGTTCGAAAAATTTCTAGAATGATTCATATTCTGATAAATTCGAAAACATTTTTTAATTACTAGAATAATTAATTTTCTAGGGCATTTTGTATGTTATTGATAGAAATTGATTTTTATCGTTGTTCTTAATATTACTTTTCGTTTTAATTACATGCGATTTTTTTCAGTTCTACATTGAAAAAAAATAATAAAAAAATAATATGTCTTCGCTTTTATTTCCTTTACCTTTGCACCAGTTATAAAAAAAAAACAACAAATATTGGATAAATATTCTATGTACGATTGAAGCTCAAATTAAATTCTTATTAATTTTATGAGTCAAAATATTTTCATCTTAAAGTTATTCATCAGTACTTCATCTTTTATTAAGTGAACAGTGTTTATAACTGAAAGTACATACAAGTTGCAGAACAATATATTATAGCCAAATGAGACAAGATAGTCATCTAGTAAATTGTCAATACCGATAAACATGACAATACTGTCGTTGTTAAATATTCAATCAATTTCTTGTTAATTATTATCTCACAATCTGAATCAAAGTTTTAACGTAATGACAACAAAACGACTTCTTATGTTTGTCAAAAAAAATCATGTACAAACATAATTTTGGCTTCGTAAAATAAAAAAAAATAATTACATTCCTTATTTATATGGTAGATTCTAATATAATTTTTACTAATAAATGAAATGTATTTCAGGTGGAAAAAGAAAAAAAAATACAATATTTTGTTTTTGCATATCAAGAAAATAAGAAAAATGTAATGCATATTTTGTTATCGACACTGAACAGTCTTCTTTTATTTAATAAAAATATTTCGTCAATTGTATTCAGGTCGCTACAATCAATGTTTGATCCTTGATGTTATTGTGTATATACCTTGCAATTCGTGAAAATATATATTAATTTATCAATAGTTTCAATAAGTCAATATAGCAAAAAAAACACGAATCAAATTAAAGTCATGCTTCGCTTCATTACAAATATACAGGTAACTTATCCAGTGGACTGAGTTAATGATACAATAAAAAGTGTACTGTATCATAAACGAACGAAAAATAGAAAAATGCTGTTGTCAACTCGTGATGCGCAACGGGAGAGACGGGCGTCATATATTTTTGCAGCAGCTGCTGCTGAAAGACTAAGTTTGGCTGGTACGGACAATGCCAGTTTTCAAGCAGATTCAATATCCAATGGTCATAGATCCAGTATTATATCAGGAGTGCAATCACAAGCACAGATTCAACCACCACAATTATCAACAATTGCTGATGTTGCAGCAGACGAACCAACAAATGATCAAACAAAACGACCAACATCTCCACAGAAAAAAAGACATCATTGGAAGATGACTTATTATTTTTATATTCATATGGGTTGGTTTTTAATCAGTTCATTGTTAGGTGGTTTAATCGTTTGGCTTATTGAAAATTATTCATCTTCACGTAATCTTCAAATTAAAGTCGAATATATTGATGCATGGTTTGTTAGTAGTTCATCTGTATGTAGTTGTGGTTTAACAACATTAGATTTTGCAAAACTTTCACAAGCATCTCAAATAATTCTTATGTTTTTTACATTTATATCTGGTGTTACAATAAGTACATTACCAGCATTAGTTGTTAAAGCTCAAACACACAGAAGAGTTGAAGGAGTAACAGTGGATGATGATCATGGTGAGTTAGAAGACGAAAATGATGATGAATTACCAACGATTAATATTCGACGTGAAAGAAATTTACCAGAACATATTCGAAATCGACTTGCAACATTACCAAATGCACGACAACTTCGTTATCGTGCTTATATAACATGTATTGTACTTATTCTTGCTACTTGTTTTACTATTTATACAATAATGTTCTTTGCTATCGGTGGTTGGATACAAACACATTATATATCTGAACAATTATTACAAGGAAATTCTACTGTTAATCCATGGTATATATCACTTATTGTTACTGTAACAGGTTTTAATCAAAATGGATTATCACCATTTTCAGATGGTCTTTCACGTTTTGTTTTTGATGTTTATCTCAATATATTTGTTATGATAGTGAATAATTTCATTTTTTTTTCTTTAATTCATTATTTAAAACTTTGTTTTTTAGTTAGTTATGAGTGGAACATCACTTTTTCCTTTTATATTACGAAATGTAGTTATGTTGGTACGTTATTTATCACCATGGCGTCATAAAGTTATATTTGATTATATTCTTTTGAATAATCATCGTTTATCTACTTTACTTTTTCCTGCTGTACAAACTCGTATTTATCTCTTTGTAACCGTTTTATTATACATAATAGGTGTTAGTATTTCACTTATACT